GGTTAACTCTGCCCACAGTCAGGAGCTCGATCCTGATGGGCTCAAGGTTGACTCAGCCTTCTGTCCTTCCGAGGTCAGTAAAATGAGGACCCAGATTGTTGGGGGCAAGAAGCTGACTCTGTAAACTGCTTAGAGAGGGCTGCGAAGCACCGTAAAGCGGTATATAAGTCTAAGTGCTATTGCTATCTTCCTTCCTTCCTTCTTGTTAGAGTGCAGCATTGCAAAGTAACTCTGCCCCACAGCCATGAGTTCGATCCTGACCGGCTCAAGGTTGACTCAGCCTTCCATCCTTCCGAGGGGGGTCTAACGAGGACCCAGATTGTTTGGGGGGCAAGAGGCTGACTCTGTAAACCACTTAGATTGGGCTGTGAAGCACTGTGAAGCGGTACATAAGCCTAAGTGCTATTGCTAAAAAAGAGACTTGCGACAGGTCCTCGTGCTTGTGACCTTGGCATGGGATTGTGATGCTGACACTTGGCCGCTATATTTGCGATGGTTGCAGCATCCCAGGGTCACACAGTTACACAGTCCTCATCTCAGCCAGCTTCCAATCAGCCAAGGCATTAAGAATCTCCTTAATGACCACGTGATTCACTTAGTGACTGTTGCAAAAAGGTTATAAAAGCATGGACAGTCACAGGACGACTCCCTTAACAACCACATCATTTAGCAACCGACGTTCCGGTCCCGGATACAGCCGTAAGTTGAGGCACCCACCTGTAACTTCCTTTTAGCTAGCCCCTAGTATTTCCTCGTGGTCTCCCATCCGGGTTCTAACCCCCGCTCCGTTCCCAGTGGTGCTTTTTAAGACCATCCAGCATGACCTCCAAGCCAGGGGAACCCCCGACTCAGGAATCTACCATGCCTCTTGGGTCTCTGCTACGGTTAAGATTGATCCAGAGGTCTTCCAGATTTGAATTCTTGCACCCTGAAGTCAACAATCGCTCCTCCTTTTTTCTTTTTTCTTTTTAATGTCAAGTGCATCATCTTTTTGGAGAGACTTGCTCAGCGTCGTCCTGATCCTCGGGACGTTTGCAAAGTAAACAAGAAGAATCCCGCAGCTTTGGCTCTCTCCCTGCAAAGGGCTGAGGCCGAACGTTTGCGTTAGGAACTACGACAGCAGCGAGTGATGTCAATGCCTCCACCTCTCCCAGCGGGGAAAGAATTGGAACCCGTTTCCACCTCCCTCCTCAACTCCCTTGGTCTGCAACGCAACAAGGCAGACACGGACTTCAGAGGAGAATCAGAACTGCAGAAAAAACAATGGATGCCGACCTGCCTTCCATTGAGGATCTGGACACTGCACGGGTCAAAAAGAGGGCTGTGGAAATATTTACACACCCCTCACATCCTGGACATAAATTGTCTCAACTTCTAAAAACGACCCTATAGGGCAATGCACACCAAGACAACTAGACACAAGGATAGTTTATTCCCTAAATGCCATCACTCGGCTAAACAACTAATTCCCACCACACTGTCAAATTATCTACAAAGACTCTATTAGTATTCTTCTTCTCATCCTTCCTAGTACCTATCTCTCCCCACTTATGACTATAACCATGTTGTTTGTATCTCTAAAATTTATATTGTTTTATTTGTTTCCTAGTATGATTTGATTGCTTATTAGTAACCTATGGTGTTGTATCTTAGGATTCTTGATGAATGCATTCTATTTATTTTTTCTTTATGTAAACTGAGAGCATGTTGTGCACCAAAGATAAATTCCTCGTGTGTCCAATCACACTTGGTCAATAAAGAATTCAATTAATTCTATTCTATTCTATTTTCTATGTCCTCTCTTCTCTATTCTACTCTGTATTCTCTTATTTTCTCTATCTTCTCTTATTTTCTCTATC